CATGTCTTCTTGTCTAAGTCAACGACATAAGACTCTGCTAAGCTTCTTGTCTCAAATTGGTTCAACCCACTTGGTAAAACCTGCCAATATCTAATAACGTTGTCTAAAAGTTAGTGTAAGTTTAGTATTATCCATGATGTTAACAAACACAAACTAAGTTTACCTTTGAGCTTTTTTCAATTGATTCAACAAGGATCTAATTGATGGACATGGTTCAAAATCTGGCCATGAACTGCCTTTCATGCTCAAATGAAACTGCCTTTCCATAACATACAATCTAATCTCTTCAAGCATTGTGATGATTGGTTTCTTCCTTGCATCTCTTATAACATTGTTAAAGCTCTCCGACAACCCATTCTCTACAGCATCACACATCTTGCCCTCCTCAAAAAAAGCTCTACACCATGATCGTGGGTTCTTTTCTGTTAGATACTCAAAGGCTGAAGGATTGAGAAGTTGTATTTCCTTCATTGCTGCATTGTGTAAAGGCTCAGTAGATGCCTTGCATGCCTTCCAAAACATTTTCTCATACATTACTCCGGGGAATCTTTTCCTAAAGTTGGCAACAACATGCCTTGCACACTGTCTGTGTTCAACAGTAGGCAAAATCTCCTTCACAACTTCCAATAGTCCCTTCACATTAACAATTTAAACTGTAAAATAGTATAGGAAAATTTCATTAATAAATAAAATACAACTAAGAAACATACCTTATGCTGATCTGACATCAATGCAATTCCAAAAGCATTGTCCATTCCTAAGTCATCTTTTAAATTTTCCAAAAACCATTTCCAATTCTCTTTGTTTTCAACACACACAACTGCCCATGCAATTGGAAATATATGATTATTAGCATCCCTTCCAACAACAGTTATTAACTCTCCAGTACATAGCCCCTTAAGGAAACAACCATCCAGGTTAATTACTTTTCTACAACTGCCCCTCCACCCTTGCTTTAGTCCCTCAAAACATACATAAAACTTACTAAAATAATTTTTCCCATCAGGCATAGTAGTGACATCAATTTTCACAGTTGATCCTGGGTTTGATCTCCTTATCTCCTCACCATATGACAAAAGCTTTGAATAGTGCTCAACCAATGTGCCTTCAATTAGCTCGATAGCATGCTTTTTCGCTCTCCTGCATTGACCCATACTTACATCTATACCAAAAGCCTGTTTCACCTCTTCCTTAAGCATCCTAACACTCATTTTCTGTTTTTGTAAGAACTCAGTTGTAAAATGGCTACCAATCCAAGCATAGCTAACAATTGATCCAAGTTTAAAGTTTCTAGCACAATTATGCTCATCTATAAAGGGCTTAATCTGGAAAGACTTTTCTTCACTCATCCATGAAGCCCATAGCCTAAACTTACACTGCCCAGAACAACATTTAACTAATAGTCTTCTACTGTCATTTTTTTTGTAGAACAACTGATACCCATTAGCAACAGCATAATTACATAACATAAGCTTTAACTGTTTTGGACTATGAAATCGCATTCCTAACATAGGTTTTTGTTTTTTCCAATGCACATTTTCATTGTATGTAGTAACCTCTTCAAAATTTACCTCATTTTCTTCCATTTGAAGATATGGATCCTCATGAGGTGGACTATTTGGAGTTGACTGGACTTTTGGGCATAGCTTGCTCAAAAAACTCATCGTTAATGGTCTTATTCATTGGATTGCCATCTACGTGTTCAAGGTCATCGTGTACATTACCTTGCAGTTCATCTGGGCCATCCTGCACAAATCCATCATAATGATTGTCTTCCACAACGCTCTCATCAACTTGCTCATCAATAATCCACTGTTGGACATTCATACCTAGATGATCCATGTATACATCCACGACACAACCAGCAGCATACCCAGCTTCGATGAAGTCCTGGTAATCTATTTTAGTAGCCAAGATCCTCAATCCATCAGGAAAATCTTTTCCAGGCATGCAATAAAAAACATTTACACACATTTCATTTGCAAATCTTTGTACGAAGTTAACAAACTCGTTCCTGTCCATTCCAGCAAAATCAACATCTTCGAACCTTTGTTCTGCTCCATCCGTATAACTAATTTCGGGGTACCTTGTAAAAAACCCAGCAAAGTGAAGATCGATCTTCATATAAACCGCCATAAGATTTTGCAGACAAAAAATATGACAAAAAGGGGAAGAAGAAAGTGAGGGTTGTTATATAATATGTCTTGTAGGGCAAGCTCAGTAAACGAGCAGGTTACATGGCAGCTTAGGTGGATTAATTTCGATGACGTGTGTACCTTATATGATGACTAGGATAATGTTAACTGGTTCAACCCTTCCACTTTGAACAAAATGGCTTTAAAAACTATTTTCTAAGTCTTGGTTCCTCTCAAGTGCGAAAAAAAAAACAATAGGGACCATTTAAACCATAACTAGAAAGATGGTTGTGTCAGAGTGACATTTACCCTAAAAAAATAAATAATTTGGTAGTTTAAAAAATATGGTCTTTAACTGGTTTTGGTTTGCTGTTAAAGTTACTAATTAGAAAGCAAAAAAAATAGGGAGGCCATGCCCCCTAGGCCTCATTTGAGTTCCCCAATTGACCACAACAGCTTCTAAGAGGTTCATGGTTTGAGGAGTTAAATAGAGCCCAGAAGTGTTTCTTACTCAAGCTCCTAACTATTAGTTACATTTCTAACTAAATGATTATTCAATGTGTCCATTATTTTACACACAACAGATATAGTCATACATTATGAATATAACTAGTTTGTTCTCTTTTTATTAATGAGTTTATAGAAATAATAATTTCTAAATTAGTTCTTAAAATATTATTTTCATAAAATACAAGTATTGATTATATTTATTAATAATCAAATTATTCTAATAAATAATCAATTAGTAGTAACTTCCTGTAAGGTGTGACCTTATAGGATCATATGTCATTAGCAAATATCATTTTAAGAAGACACTTGGGCATAAAGATCTTTCAATCTCCTACTTGCATAAGACTCGTCATAGATTGATATAAACAGTGGTGAGCGTCTAGCAAAATTTCACTGCTCTCAATAACACACGAGGAAGAATGTCATTCATCAACATCCAATTTCCAAAAGCTCAAAGCTACAATTGATATATAAGATAATTTTACTCAGTTATCCCTTTGTTACAAACATCATGCTAAAAATGAGACTTTGATCACAATCAATCTCATTTGGTGTTCAACTTTGAGTGATGTGTATTAGATGTCTAACTCTTAACACATAAGAGGAATAAATCTTATATTGACTATATAAGCCTCTTGTATAGTTGACACCACACCTAATAATTGCCTTTATAACTGCTCAATTAAGTATCAGCAGTTGACCACATTGAAGTATAACACTCCATACACTTAAGTCTCATTATGTATCTCTGGTATTAATGATACAAAGATAATATTTTTTTTTATCAAGTCTCACTCATGATAGTGATCTATGAGGTGATCTTGATGCAGGTTAGTTTAATACCAGTTCTCTAACAAATACATATGAATCTTGATTACAGCTCATTGTTACTTTCATATAATAAGAGTCAATCAATCAAATTCGTATTATATGAACAATTTCAATAAGTTGGATGGTCGAATGTGAACAAAAAATATGAATAAAAAAATGTCTAGATGTAAACAAAATCAATAGTTCATTAACCTTGTAGATAATTATCTTTGTCACGTATATGTCACGTATACATCACGTAAGTTGTAACTTATTATAGTTGATAATAATCAGGGATGACTCAACCAGGTTGGAGGCTCTAAGCGGACCAGAAATATGGGGCCCTTTGCCATTAACTAGTCTTTTTAGATTCAAATTCTCTAATGAAAATTTCATAATCAATTTCATTTACTAAATCTTTTTAATTGGCAAAATAGTTAATCTTTTTTGTGATTTTTGATAATTTAATTAACAATAACTATCACCAAGACAATAAAAAGTAAACTGAAAGTAAATAGTAATGAATTACAGATTTATAGATTGAAAATACCTATTTTATCTGCTTGACAAAGTAAGTTCTTAACAACAACCTTGACCTGGAGGGCTTGACTCCTTGAGAAAACTGAAATGGAAATATAAAATTGTAAAACTGGAATTCGTTCCAACCAAAATCGTTCCTTCCAATGGCCAAACTCCAAACATGATTTTTTGATTCCAATATCCAAAATCCAAACCTGATTCCAAAATCAAACTTCACAGGGTGAAGATTAAAAAAAATAATAATAAGCGCTATTAAGTATTAACCCTAATAGATAGTCTAATCAAAAAAGAAGAATCATCAATTGAGTTTGATTTTTAAATTGATAGAGAATCAAAGAATCGGAAAGGATGAATAATATCGTTTGATTTTGAATCGATGTTCAGACTTGTGACTTTAGACTCATTGATGAAGTGATGGCAATCGATCTTTTGAACAATCAAGAATCAAGAATCGATTTTTTGATTTTATTTTTTTAACGATCCAAATGATTACAGTTAAGAGTTCAAAGAGCCACCAGGAAAAAGAAGAATGGAGAAGACGAGAAGAAGAACAGTCGGTCGGCAAAAGAGTTGGCAAAAGAGTTTCTCAGTTTCAATCGTGCGTGGGATGGGAAAATCCGAAATCAGTAGCAAAATTTAATTAATAAAATTTAATTAATGGACTTTTAGGTTAAAGGGCCCTTTAAAAATAGGACCCTAAACTCTTGCTTACTTTGTATACATGTAAAGCCAGCCCTATAATAATAATTATTTGTAAATAAAATTATCCAAATATAAAGAAATCGAAAACATAACTACCTTCCTCCATCAATTTCCTTATGTTTTATTTACTCTATTTTTTATGTTTCATTTTTTGTAATTTTTATAATTTGCACGAGCATTAAATCCGAGGCGCCAACACATGAGGTGGGGCCCTAATGTCGAGTCCACACGAGACACGTCTGTCTTACGGTCTTTACCATGTCATCCTCCAAATAACTCCCTCATCTCCAAATCCAATTCAAAAGCACGTATAAAACACTACCATGGGGTTCCTCAATTCTCCTCATCTTCAAATTCCAGATTCCGACTTCAATTCTCACACGTTTCAGCTTCAATCGGATATAAGATTACCAGATAGAGATTCGATTCAAGTCAACCTTGGTTCAATCGCATTAGAAGATGAGATCGCCGTCGAAATCCGTAACAAAAAGAGTAAGAGATGCTGAAGCTGAGTTGAATTTGCCTCCCGGTTTCCGATTTCACCCAACAGACGAGGAGCTCATTGTTCATTATCTCTGCCGCAAGTCCCAATCGACGGCGGAATTCGTTGGTGTCGCTTCACCACCGTCAATCATCGCCGATGTCGATCTCTACAAACACGATCCATGGGAGCTTCCTGGTAACTTTCTTTTTCAACTCCATACATCTTACTTCGCAATTTACAGGTTATTCAACTCTGATTACTGATGAATTTTCCCAAAATCTCTTCAGAAATGGCTCTGTTTGGAACAAATGAATGGTACTTCTTCACACCAAGAGACAGGAAATACCCTAACGGATCAAGACCAAACCGGGTCACGAGAAACGGGTACTGGAAGGCTACCGGAGCTGATAAGCCCATAAAACGAAAATCCGATCCGAATACAATCGTTGGGATCAAGAAAGCTTTGGTTTTTTACGCAGGAAAAGGGACTAAAGGGATCAAGACGAATTGGATCATGCATGAATATAGACCAAATCCTACACCTTCTAATCACACCAAATCCCATTCAACCATTTCCAAGGTGCGTTGACATTTAATTTTGCGTAATTTGATCGATTGGTGACTTCTGGTTGAAATGTTATGTAAATACCATTGAGGTTGACATGCGTATGTTCTAATAACTGTAGTTGGATGATTGGGTTTTGTGTCGTCTTTACAACAAAAAGAACAATCCGTTAGAGAAGATCATACCAGAAGACAATAAGTTGCATCATAGCTGTGATCTTCATCCTGCATCACCATTAGATGAATCACAAAGTAACAACAGCGATAGTAATCATAGTATGAATTCAATTGAAGATTCAGAAGGTGATTTTGGTGGTAACTTTGAAGGTGATGTCATGTTCTTAAGCGACTTGCCACGTGGATATTTGACCAAAGTCAAAGGTACAAGCGAGCAAAGCAGCATAGAAGAAATGGAAAAATTGATGCAAAGAGGTGATGATGGGAATGAGTGGCTTGACAGCTTGAGTTTGGAAGATTTGAATCATTGGTTGGAAGTAATGCCTCCTAATCATGATGTTTATCAAACGCCAATCATTTATAACTCAAATCAACAGTATTTTTTGAATTAGTGTTTTGACTATTTTAGGAATTTTTAAGTATTCCAGTATTTAGATAAGATGTAAAATTTTGCAGATGTATCATGTAAGTAGTTGAGTTACGTTTTTTTTTTTTGGTATCAAAATTTTTATCCAATAAATTCTTTTCATACAAATCCTGGACTTCTTCTCGCTGTTAAATATTTCAGTCAAGATCTAAATAAATCGTGCTATAAAATGCAAAAGCAAGGTATTTAATTTGTTGTATCAGCGATGATTGAATTTAATCTTTTATTGGAAATATTGAGAAAAAATTTACAAAATATAATGTAATGTGGTTTGGATCTCGAAAGGGTCATTCTCAAAAAATTATGTTTGAAAATTTTAATAGGTTGGTTAAAAAGACACCCTATATTACAATATGGACACTCTATTTAATTTTTTGAATTTTTTTATTGACTAAAATTGCATTTTTTTTCGAAAAAACTGATTATAGACAGTTAATTATTGGTTGATTTTTTATAAAAATGTCAATAAGGTGTCTAAAGGGTGTCTGGTTTGAGTCCTTTAAACAAAACGTATGTACCTTTAACAAGAAGATATTTGACTTTGTTTTACTATAAGACAAAGAACTCCTTCATTTTCGTTTTTAAATTTGGAGGAAAAAAAATATATAGTATCTTACAGAAACCAATATATTCTTAAAATTAAAGTATTAATACTTGAAAACTTATTAAATTTTTTTTTTTTTTTTTGGAAAGGGAACTTCCCTAACAAAGGTTTCCGGGCCAGCTTTCGCGCACCGACTAATCTCCCGCTGCAAACATAAAGCTTTGTCTCATACCCTGGAGTCACTGCAGGCGAACCTCCATGGCCACAAGGGCTGAGTGGTGTCAGGATAGAAAACTTATTAAAATTTTATTTTGTTACAAGAGTAAAAGTATCCCTTAAATTTATATGGTTTTTTTTTTTTTTTTTTTTTTTTTTTTTTTTTTTTTTTTGTAAAAAGAAAATATATATATATATATATATATATATATATATATATATATATATATATATATATATATATATATATATATATATATATATATATATATATATATATATATATATATATATATTAATTTCATGACAATTCCTCATTTTATAGAAAATTAAATTGTAAGAATTTGATTTTTTTCAGATTTTCTTTTAAAAAAAATATTGACAAAAAAAAAGTGAGAGAAAATATCACCACCAAATACTTAGAGCATCTCCAACCCACTCTTATTCTCCATTTTTCCTCTATTTCTTCACTCATTCTTCTCCAACCCTCTCTCATTTATTCCTTCATTTTAGAAGATATGAACAGTATTACACCAAATATGGTGTTATACTATTCATTTCTCCCAAAATGGGAGTGAACTTTGTTTTATCGGTTTTAGTCCCTCTGTTATATATTTTTACATTTTCTAGTTCATTTTTACATACTAATTATAATTTTAATATAATATTTAATACTTTTAATATTTTGTTATATATTAAATTATATTAATTAATTATAACTATAAAGTTTGTTTTTTGTTCATCAAATTCATATAAAAATTTAAATACATATTGAAATTTTAAAAAACGATAACGTATTTTACAAAAACTTATAATTAAAATATGTATTACAAACACAATAACTTATGATATTAAACTTGTAATTAACCTATATGTTACAATAATAATCTAATAAAAACCAACAAGTGACAATACTATTATTTATTTATTTAATGTTTATTTAAAAGTGTGTATGTGTAATATTTTTATAAATGCTTGAATAATATTTAGTTATAAGTTTATTATAAATATAATCGTTTGTAATTAATATTAATGCAATGAAAAAAACATAGATTAAATATTTGTTAAAATTAAATTAGTAAAGGGGTGTGTTTGACAATCTATGTAAGTTGGAATAATGGAATATGCTAGGAATATACTTTTTGGGAGTAAAAATAAGGTAAAAAATAGAGTAGGGTTGGAAATAAAACACTATTTGCTCTATTTTTTACTCCATTTTTTGGGAAAAAAATGAAAGTTAGTTGGAGATGATTTTACATTACACGTCAACTTGTAAGTGGGTTTGAAGAGTCCTCTCTACATATTAAATGGTCATTTTTGGAAAAGTTTTTTTTTGTAATTCTTTTTTTAAATTTTTCTTGAAATTAAACAAAAAATATATATAATTAAAAAAGTTATACACATGTAACCTACAAAAAGGTCATTGATATAGGAATGACAACGGGGCAGGTTCGGAGCGGGGCATGGTTTCCCAAACCCGCCCCGATATTTTTCGGGTATCTTATCGGGGCGTCCAATTGGGTTTCGTGTTTTCCCGTCGGATTTCGGGTATCTTATCGGGTTTTTAACAATTTATAACAAAATTTTTATTCCGTTTTAGGGTACCCCGATGTCTTATAAAAAATAATGTTCTAGCCTCCATTTTAAATTAAAAATATGATACATCACTTTAATAAAATAAACTAGATGTTATATTAAAAATTATTTGTTTCAAGTTTAGTATAATACATCAAAACATAAATAATTGTTAGTAACTAAAAAGATTATTTGATTTAAGTTTAATGTAATATTGAAAACATAAAAAATGATCGTTCACACCATATTTTTAAAAACTAAAAAAGATTGTCCACGGTAAGTATTTTATTTTTGAATGAGTAAAATTAGCATCAAAATGATTTGTGTGTATGTGTCTGTGTGTGTGTATATATATATATATATATATATATATATATATATATATATATATATATATATATATATATATATATATATATACATATATAATCGGGGCGGAGCGGATCGGGGCAATGATGATCCACTCCCTGCCCCGAACCCGATAAAAAACTCGATAACGATCCGTTACCCGACCCGAAATGATCGGGTTTCCTCGTCGGGTTTGGGTTTTTTTGTCATCCCTACATTGATATAATGTTTAGAAGATTGTGGTAACTAAGGGAGGGATGAATGGATGATGTTCAGTTGCACTTCCTCAACATTTTTCATGGGCAATCCTTTGGGCATACCATGCACCCTTAGGCAAAGGGCAAAATTTTGTCCCTAGCCGTTCATTAATGCAAATAACAAATGTCAATACATTATATACACCTTTGAAAAATGATATTCGCTATCACATTTACTTTATTAGATACTTACAGTTACCAAACCGAGTGGCCAGTTTGGCAAATATGGCAACATGATAAAACTTGAAAAAACCAAAACTATTTGATCCTTCCATATCATCTACCATACAATATACAGAGTGATAACACCAGCTAAAAACAATTTAAACCAATTCTTTCCTTCTTTTTCGTATGTAATATTCTCCTAATGTTGTAGCTTTTATTATTTTTTCCACCTTTAACCTAGTAACATCTACAAGAAATATATACAAGAAAGGGTTTCACCTAACATTACTCTGATGCAAACGATACACACACACCCACCCTCTCTCCTTCCCTTTCTCAATCGTCACCAACAAGGCAACAACACCTTCAACAACTCCCCCGCCTCCTCCTTCCCCGAACACTCCAAATTCGTCTGAAATAGCGGCAACGACGTCGGCGGGTTATACCACCGCTGCTTCCCACCACCACCTCGGTTCACATTCTGTCTCACCACCACCACATCCGAACTACTCCCGACTATATGCACCACCTCCTCATCAACATCCACATGAATCACACTGTCCAACCGTATCTCCACTTCAATCACCCAATCAGGATCCGCCGGGACGCCTTTGAACTTCGGTTTCCCCAAGTTTACCAGACTGGTGGATGTCACGATCAGGATGAGTCGTTCGGTGATAATGACGAATTTACCCCCTAGTTTGAGAAATTTGGATAGAACTAGGGTTTCGTCTTTTAGCATTAAGTTGTCGTCGGAATCGGAACCGGTGATTACGGAGATGCCGATGGATTGTTCCCATGAGTAGGGTTTTAAGGGGTAGTTTGGGGATAATTGTCTTGGGTGACGAACTCGGAGGCGTTGGTGATTGGAGAAGACCAGTCAGCCCCTCCAAAACTTCATTTATTACACCTTTGCCATGAGACGACATCCCCTTTTGTTGCCTTTCCATTTCTGATGCAGATGGGTCATCCATTGTTACATTACCTTCATGAAGCTCCTGACTGGAACCCATGGGATTTCATAATAAGCTTCAAGCCTTGAACTCATGTTAGTTGTATCAAAAAATTATGTAGCAGTTTTCCAATCTATCTCATCTAATCTGCAAAGTACAACAGTAGTCTCTTCATCACCTTGCTTTAGAGCAAATGGAAGTTCTAGATAATCAAAAGCTTCTAGAATTAACTCAACATTTTCTAAGAACACTTCTTCTGCATTAAAGGGAGCGTAAAAAGTCAATAGCATAGATTGTGATCAAAAAGTTCGACACATACAAATGACATTATAGTATAAGAAATTCATTGCATATTGACATGATACGCCACAATATACAAGGAGATGCTAAAGCGATCAAAAATGTTCATGGAGGGAGTCCAAGTTACAAATAAAATAGAATGAGAAATGGGCATTAAAAAATATGAATCACGAATGGCATATTGGTGTCAACCATTAATGTGGTAACAATGGTATGAGTATTCTACTTATGTTGTTATACTCTTCAAACTACGTAAATGTAAATGAATAAAAAGTAAAACTATTGTGCTGATAATAGTGAAAGCAGCAAGCCATTATAACTAAATCAAAAAAAGGTCATGATAGACACTGGTGACTTACCATTCCACAGTGTGATCTTGAGTTGTTCTCTGTGTATATCTTTAATATATTGGCCAAGATAACCTAATATCAACTGCCTTACTAAACCTTCAAACATTTCCTATACCAATTATCAACTCGGAACATAAATAGTTTGTAAAACTGCAATGTTAGCGCAATAAGCAGGGATAATTACTTGATAATTTCAAATGGTTGTAATGATTTTTATTCACACACTAAAAATACATGGAGAGCGAGTCTAACATACAACAGAAAAGAAAAAGGAAACACCTAAAATCAAGGTGTAAAACAAGGAAAGGGGAATAGGAAGAAGGAAAGGTGACGGTAATTAGGGACCAAAATCAATCATTTCCAATACTCTCCCTCAAGTTGGAGTGTGGAGGTTACAAACACCCAAGTTGCCAAGAAGTAATT